ATGCTTTAAAAAAGTTCAAACGACATGCTCAACAAATCATCGTGCTTTACATAATTAAAATATACACCTAACTAAACACGCAACCTACATGCCAAATCCAAGCCTCACATCACAACTCACCGGTTCTCTTTCCTATTCCTCCAAAACTTACTACGTCGACTCTTAACCACACATAGCTAAGGCCTTGACACTCATATTTGTCCAAAGTTAGCGTATGGACCCTCGACCATTTACCTGGAACCTTGATACCCAACTACTAACGTATCAGTTCTCTAGCCGTGATACTCACCAATTCACTTCATAACAAAACCAAACCAAAGTTCTACTACATGCTCTCTAAGCCATGACCCATGCAGCATTCAACTCATAATTAATTCAGTACGCTTCTACAAACATAGACAAGAATGTTATCAACGAAACAATATGTCTATCAAGCTTTCGTAGTATACTCACAATCATTTCAGTATGCTTTTATGAACACAACCATACGACAATATAACTATCAATAATCCAGACACACATCAAACACACCAACAATTCTCATAATAGTTAGGGCACAACTTGTGGGAGAATTTGTTGGGACTGTTGAAGAAAGATAATGAAATATATTGAGGGTCGAGCTTATGAGTATTCTTAAGGGGATTGGAGATGTAACAAAAATCAAGTGGAAATGGGTTTCTTGGTTGAGAAAAATAAAGAAAATATAGAGGAAGGAGGAAGAAGAAAGGGTAGAGAAAGGGAGAAAATCCGTGTGTTTGAACGGATAAGAAAGAAGAATAGGAGGGGTTGTTGATGGAAGAGAGAGAAAGAAATTTGTGGCTTAAAATTTAAGCAATAAGAAAAAAAAATGCTTAAAGGAAAACGAGATTCACGTAGGTTTTTGGAAAGGAGAAGAAATTGAATTGTTTATTGTGAACCCACTTGTAAGCTGGTAGTAAGACAGAGAAGAAGTGGGTCTTAATGAAGAAAAAGAACGAGTTGTTACATGCATAATTGGTTTTATTTTGAAGATACCGTTTGGAATTAAGTTTATGTTGGAATTAAGTGAATTAATTTGGTATTGGGATGATATTTTAGGTCGGACATAAGTTGGAGACATGAACGACCTAGTTTGAAAGATTTGTGAGTGGTTACTTTATTAAACGTTTTTTTATATTTTTATTGGATTTGTGATTGGTTATTTTATTAGATTTTTTATAGCATCTATTAATATAGAATTTCAAGAAATTATATATATTATGTATGTTTTAGTATTTTTGCTGAAAATGAAAGAAAATGTGTTTTTTTTTTAGGATTTTAGAAATGTGTTATTATTTTGAAAAATGTTTTATGATTTCAGAGAAATGTTTGAGAAAGTTATGAAATGTTATTTAGAAAGAGATTTCATAATTTATTTCAGAGTTTTGGGAACTGTTGTTTAGAAGGAAAGATTTTAGAAATGATTTGAGAAAGTTCGAAAAGTTCTTAGAAAGAGGAAAAGAAGAATTTTAGAACATTTTTCAGACCACCATGTTATTGAATCCAGATGATTACATGTATGATGTATGAATGTGTTTCTATAGTATACCTAGAAATAGAAGGTCTTTTGGACCATTTGGTTCCGTCCGTTGACAGAATTATTCTGCTGTGTGTATTGAGATTACTCTGCGTCAGTAGACCACAATAGAATGTGGATACATGCGTGGTGTTAAGTTTTCTCTAGTTTATTTATGTTTAAATAAGAATGTTTTACATGTTTTTAGAATGTGCTTTTAGAGCAAATCAAGAAGCTGGTGTAACTAGATCGCACTGGACATAGGGGAATGTCACGGCAATTAGAGCCACATCCAGATTCTAAATCCTGGTCCGAATCCTAGGCTTGGAAGCATTGCTTGTTGGTTGTTTTGGAAGTATTGTTACAAGATTTTTATGAGAAAGTTTACTTATTCCAAGTTTTTATGAGTTTTATAATGTTTTTAAGAGCTTGAATTCCAACTATTTATGAAATAAGTTTTATGAGATTATTTTCTTATTAACTAACAACTCATTGAGTTTTTCATCTCACTCTTTATTTTTTATTTTTCCCCCAGGTTGTACCTGAGTTTCAAGGATAAAGTAGATCAACTTCTGCCACCTAAATAGTTCAAAAGTTACATAACATTTTGTACGTATACGTAGTGTTCTTGTAAAAAGTTTTATATTTATACCAGGTTGACAGAGTAGAATGTTTAGAATGGATGTAAGAAAGGATGTTCTGTAAAGATTATTATTTTATTATGCATCCACTCAGAGCTTGTTGTTAAAGTTTCAGGTCAAAGGTAATAAGTTGACCATGGACTCTGTAGTTAGTTGGGGTCTGTGGTCTGCGCGACTCGTTCTAGGACTAGTAGGTATTTTGAGACGGGTCGTTACATTATTAATAAAAATTATTTTATTATTTATTTGCATTACTCGTATTCAAATAAACTAAGATTTAAAGTTATTTAATGTAACTGAAACAATATATATATGATATACAATATATATTTAATATACATTGTATATTTTTGATATACAGTATATAAACAATATATATTCGATATACAAGTGGATAATGTTCTAGTAATAACCTAAATGGTCTATAGTACATGGATAAGGTTGGGTACATTATCCTAGTAACACTATGGATACGACCTGTTTTGTAATAGTTACAAATGACTTTATCTAGGTCGTTCATGTAGAGACATGTGAGTGAGGGCATCATATACAATGGTTTTGTATAAGATCGAACTGTGAAATAATTAATCATTGGCTCTAACACCATTAGTCAATACATTGTTATCTCATAGGATGACTAGGTAACTCGATTAAGAGTTATGAACTCTTGCCTACAAGGGATCGTCCTTTGATTTGTATAAGTGAGAGTGGTTCGAGTTGCCGACTTAATAATCCTACTATTTTGGGGGCGAAACTGAGTAGGGAGCTGGAAACATAACTACGCAATATGAAATTCACTCCTTACCAACTTTAGAGAAGTAGATGAGTGTTCACTTACATGGTGACTACGGGACTTGAACAAGGGGCCCACCCTCTCATTGGCCTAAGAGGGACTTCTGGTTATTGATCGGACCATAACCGTGTTGTTCATTAGAGGAGTAGTGGTATATTGGGAGCAAGAATTAACTTAGGGGTAAAACGGTAATTTGACACAGCTAGAGCTACGAGCACTCGTGAATGATTGACTTGCCGTTAATTGTCGTACATCTATGGACACAAAAATATTCTACAATGAGAAGAGTGCAGTTGCAACAGGTACTATTTCACTAAGTTTTATCTCTTTTTAAGTGCTTGTTGGGACTCTCCTCTTTTCCTTGGAATCACCGTTGTAGCATCATTTTTCAAACAAGTGATAATAAGTGATATGATCATAATTGGTCTCAAGTCCTTAGAACTAAGTCAAGATAAGAAGACAGCTCCACCGCACACAAAATGCCCAAAGTGAAAGGCACGTCAAGCGTGTGTGCCCCACACTAGGCATGTCATCGCACCCCGCACTCCCAACAGCCTGTTGCGCACCTTCTCTAGCCAGGTGCTAACCTCGCAACGCCCATCCGAATGTGTCAGCGCCCGTGCACCCCCTATCGCAAGTA